TACTACTCGACTAAGGTTAAGTGCAGATGTAGTTAAACAAGTTTTTCAAGGTCAAAATCAATCTCGAATGCCCTCTCACAGCTGTCTCCCACACAACAGAGTTTTTAGAAAAAGCTGTAAGAAAAAGAAGGTAACAGAATCTACATGGAAAGGGGACTATGTTTCAAGATGAATTTTTATTAAGAAGCTGAAATGTGTTCTGAAAGTAATACAAATATGTAACCTTTAAAATATGTTTACTTATATATATACCTGGGGGGAATAAGTGTGGCTATAAACTCTAAAAGTGATTTTTTTTAGAATCATTTTAGTTTAGGTGCCAACATGTTCTTTTAAACAAAAAGTCGGATTTCATTCTTCTGGATTTCTGAAAAATTATCCAAGAAAAACTAATGTGTAAAGTAAAAGGTCAAAGGTGTCCCTGTGGATTTTACACTGCTAGTTGTTTCAATCATTTTCATTTCAAGGTCATTCAGCCAGTGCTGTTTGAAGACGTTTCCGTGGTCATGTACCTTCCCACCAAAGTGGTACCCATTGATCCACTTGCATTTGCATGCTTTCGAACTGCTAGGTTGGCACGAGTTGGGGCAAGGACGGGAGCTCACCCGTTGCATGGCACTTGGATCTCAAACCTGCGCTGCTGGCTTTCCAGCCAACAAGTCCAGCGTCTTATCCACTGAGTCACTGCACTGCCCTTAAGGTGTAAAGTACTACTTTCAAAACTTGTAATATTCTCACCTAATCAGTTTTATCTAACTCTTATCTCTGTTCCTCTAATATTTGAAGCTGGAAAAATAAGACTATTTTCCCAGCTTCAGACATTAGAGGAACAGAGATAAAAATAATTACTGTAAATTAAAAAGTATATTCAACTATATGGGTTTCCCGAGGCCCCATAAGTCCAGGGGCTCCTCTAACTTTTGCCCCCTCTCCTTACTTGTTCAGTTCTCAACACACACACCCCATCTGTATTACATGCAAATTTCAAAGTCAAAAAGAGATAAATTCTGAAATTATGAAAGGTGATAATCTACAATATCGATACTACATAATTAAAAAACAGTCACTTTTCCACTTACATCATTTGAGCCCAACATTTCTATTATTAGGCCAGGCAGTTGTTAAGTCAGTTTTGCCACATTTTACAACCATTTTTGTCATGGTTGTTAAGCAAGTAATGCAGTTGTTGAGTGAATTATGCAATCATCAAGTGAATCTGGTTTCCCCCAGTGACTTTATCAGAAGATGGCTGGGAAGATTTTTCTTCCATAATGCAGTGTCTTCTACAATCAAACAACAGTCCCTATTTTCTCTGGGAATGTAAATCACCATATCGCATGAAATCACGATTATTAAGGAGACTTTCTTTCAGCTCAGTAAGAGTCACACTCTTTAAAAAAAAAAAACAATTCCAAAAGATCCCTCTTCCCCCAAATTAAATTCCTGCTAATTAGTTTTGCTAATTAGTCATAGCCCAGTCTCATTAAGTGGAATCTGCGGAAATATATCCTCAGGAATAAGAAATCCAGAGTAGGAAATGATTGAAACATTTTATATAGTAATTAAATGAATCAATCATCTGTCAATCTTTATTCCAGGAATCATTGGGAAAGTAAAAGCAGCTGAGAGGAAAATTTGCCCTGAAGTTAAACTATTAAAAAGTTTATTTTTCATTAAATTGAAGAACTTTGTTCTCCTCAGCATTCTTTATTGCTGTCCTGCAAATGGAGGTGGAGGGAGAAGGGAGGTAATAGAGAAATAACCTGAAGTCAGCAAACTTATTACATCTTTGGTGTGTACGAGTTAAGATTAGGCTGTGAAAAACCCTCAGCTGACTCTGGAGGAGTCGGGTTGCGGTTAGCAGAACACATCATTTTTCATCCATTCTCACCCTAGGAACATTTCAATCTCATTTCAAACCATTGTTCACTTGCACACCCAGATCCTTTCCTCGCTAAACGTGCCAATGTGTCATCACCAGGCTGCACACATATGCTGGCTTCACGTTTTACGAAAGATAAAGGCAGTTTTCGGATGTGCCTAAGCTCCACGTCATTACATGTGGATCGGTCAATGTGGGAACGTCAATTAAAAATGAGCCACACACACACACACATACCTTAAAAACCCCAGGAATAATTTTCAGAGATCTGAGCATGAAGTCTTCGTAATGAAGCCAGAAAATTCTTTAAAATGTTTGTTCTAAACAGCAATGTTCACTCGGTTTCCTCCTTTCTGTCAGCAGAAAGTTTTTAAAAGTTAACTCAGCCTTCCTTTTTTGCACAAAACGCTCCTCTCCTTTAGTTACTCTGTTTTTTTACCATCTGTGAACAAAGCTCTCTCTTTTTAAGGCCTAATCTGTCCTTATCAGACATGAAAGGCTTATTTTAATTCCAACAACAAAAATATTCATGCATTTCCCTCAAGCAATTTTTCTGAATTCAAAACCCCAGCATCTGACTTTCAGCATTTGCATTCAGGAAGGAAGGTAGAGCTTATTGTACTGGTATCTGATGTTTCTCTCTTTCACTATATAGAACTGACGTTTTTACGAACATGCCGAATTACAACTTCAATCGAGGTATACTGTATAAATGGACGTTGCAAAATCTTGCAATCTCTTTCAACTTAAACACAACCTAACACTTCCTCAAACACCAGGCTAACAACTGGAACCTTTTTCTTCCAAGGACATAAGGTTATCTTCAATGTAGGACCACAATTGAGTCCAACGTTTCTGTTGCTAAGCAAGACAGCTGCTCCATTTTACGACCTTTCTTGGCACTGCTGCTAACTGAATCTCTGCAAATTAAGTTAGTAACACGGTTACTAAGGGAATCTGTTTTCCTCAATGACTTTGCTTGTCAGAAGGTTGCAAAAGGTGATCACTTGATCACAAGACATTGCAACCATCATTAAGTACACGCCAGTTGCCAGGTGTCCAAATTTTGATCACGTGACTGTAGGGATGCAGCCAATGGTCGTTAAGCGTGAAAACAGTCATAAGTCTCTTTTTTCAATGCCGGTGTAACTTCGAACAGCCACTAAATGAACTGTTTTAAGTCAAGGGTTATCTTATCTTTAAAGAACAGAAGCTACCAAGCCTAAATACAACTTTCTATAGCTCAGTTCTTCCATAGTACATGGAAAAGACAGAGAAGGAAATCCAGTTTTAATATTGCACGTACAAAGTACGAGACAGAATGATGTTACAACTTGCTTAGAGCCAAAACAGGATCCAACCTGGTTTTTCCTCATGTAAAATGCTTTCAAGAGGCCGACCTACAGACACCAAAAACATTTATTTCCTGAGAATAAGAACAATTCATCAGTGGAAGGATTTGCTTCCAGAAGTTGTGGGGGCTCCAACACTGGAAGTTCCTGACATAGTACAGTCTCTTGCCTGAGCAGGGGGTTGGACTAGAAGACCTCTAAGGTTCCTTTCAACTTCGTTGTCCCAAAGGTGCTTTTCTTCAAGAAGCAACTGGACTTTCTGGTTTTTCTTTTGAAGATGTTTCACTTCTCATCCAAGAAGCTTCTTCAGCTCTGACTGAAAACCTTTGGGACAACCATGTCCTGGATGACTGAGAATCTGAGGGGATTGGACTAGAAGACCTCCAAAATCCCTTCCAACCCTATGATTCTCTAGACTTCCTTATTATTCTTCCTTATTACTCCTTATTATTCTTCCAGGCCAACTTGACTTTCATCCCTTTCCAAAGCCACAGTATCCATTTGTGGCCTTCCTCGGCTTGGGGGAAACACACACACACACACACACTAGCAGCTCTTATCCACCCATCCGGAGGAGAAACCATATCCAAACAATACTCTTTTTTTTCCCCCCCCTCCACTTTTCCAAATGTCAGGCGGGACAGCCTTTTAAGAGGAAGTTTTCATTACAAACTACAGATAACCGAGTTGAAAAAAGTCCGGAAAGCCTGCCCTGAAGAGGAAAATCAGAAGGAAGCCCGCTGAAAAGAAAAGTTATTTTACATTCTTTTTTCTTGTTAAAGGAGGGAGGGAGAAGGAAGGCAAGGCAAAGAACTCCATCTTTACGGGATCCTTGACAACTTCTGGCAGGCAAAAAAAAAAGAGAAAGAGAGAGGCCACACTTTCTTAAGAGCCATTTGCTAACATTCACTTCTTTTTATGCATTTTTATGCATGCCAAGAACTCTGTATTACTTTTAGCGCATCGAGGATTCTTATTTATTCTTATTTTATTGCTTTAGGCAATAAAAACAGAAGTTAGAAAGGCAGGGACATAAAAAGGATAAATGTTAAAACAGAAAATCTGTTTAAGATGGACAAGCCTATTATTATTATTATTATTATTATTATTATTATTATTATTATTATTACAGTATTCATGTTGTGATGAATGTTATTTTAATTACAATGGCCGAAAAACAATTGCATCCAGACAACGCACTGTTGAATTGAATTTTTATATGTTATAAAAATATATAGTTTATATGTTATATATTATATATACAAATAAAATAAATAAAACTTCAGGGTGTGTGGGGGGAAGGATTCAGCATGCCAGCTGAGGAATTGATGTTAAAGTTGCCAAGTTTGAAAAAAAAATAAAAGGTCCAAGAGGGGCACTTAGGGAAGGGGAAAGTAGTAGCCATTACCCAGCGGGAAGGGGCTTTTGCCCCCCTCCCACCATTAGAAAGGAAAGTGATACTCTATGAACTTTTTTTTGGGGGGGAATAGGGATGCTGAAATAGGGGTGGTTTCCTGATAGAGCATGTGGGGGGGGAACCCCCATAGGGAAGGCTTGTATAGAGGGGGGAGGAAGATGGAGAAGCCTGAGCGGGGGGGAACCCCAAAAACAAGTAGCCCCCCCCACACTTTGGGGGAAGAATGGGACCCCCGGCCCTGGGGGGGGCCGCCCCTCGTGCCCTTCCCCAAGGTGAGCGTGGGGTCGTGGTGAGGGGGCGTGGCCACGGGTCCCCCGTTTTCCCTTTTCTCCCCCCCCTCTGGCCGTACCTGCCGGGAAGGGGCGCCGCTCCCGCCGCTGCAGCCGCCGCTTCCCCGGCTCGCCTTCAGTTTGACCTTTTCCGCGTCTCTCCCGCTCCCCCCCCCACCCTCGTCCCCGGCTCGCTGACGTCACCCACCCTAGCAACCAATCCGCGCTTTCCCCCCCCCCTTGTCCTCCTCTTCGCTTTCCCCGCCTCCTCTCCCTCCCGCCAACCCCCACCGCAAAAGCGCTCGCGCTCTCTCGCTCACCGCCCAAGAGGAAGGAGGAGGAGCGAAGTTATGCAAAAAAAAAAAAAGAAAAAAAAAAAAACACCTGGCGGGCGGCGCCCAATCAGCGAGGCCGGACGCCGCACGCGCCCTGAGGAGGGGAGGGGCGGGGGGGGAGAGAGAGAGAGAGGTGGGGCGCGAGCCGAGGGGCAGGACGAGGCACGCCCTCCTCCAAAGGGGCGGAGGGAGGGAGGGAAAAAAAAAACACTTTAGAACGGATGGTTTGCGCATGCGCGCGGCTGACCACTTTCGCGACAAGAACTTTTTAACTTTTGTCTCTTTTATACTTTTTTTTACCCTTAAAGAGACATAAAAACACCTCCAATGGTTGCTTCCAGTGCATTTTTCTTTTTCTAGGTTATATTACCGGGCATGCGTGCCCATCTGCATGCCAAAGTTTTCAAAGTTGGCCAGCTCCTCAGAAAAAGAATCAGAATAGAGCTTGGAAGGGACCTTGGAGGTCATCTAGTCCAACCCCCTGCTCAAGCAGGAGACCCTAAAAGTACCATTTCAGACAAGTGGCTGTCTAGGATTTTCTTAAAAACCTCCAGGGATGAAGCACGTACAACTTGTCTTCACATGTTGGGAAGTTTCTCCTTAAGCAGTTGTCGACTTATGACCACAATAAAATTGCTAAGTGAGAGAGTTGTTTGGTGAATTTTGCCCCATTTTATGACCCTTCTTGCCACGGTTGTTAAGTGAATCACTGCAGCTGCCAAGTTAGTAACGTGAATCTGGTTTCCCCATGGACCCATCAACAGTAGAGACCTTCAAATTTCTAGGTTCTATTATATCACATGACCTAAAATGGACACCTAACATCAAAAACATCATCAAAAAAGCACAATAAAGTATGTTCTTTCTGCGCCAACTCAGAAAGTTCAAAAACTGCCCAGGAGCTGCTGATCCAGTTCTACAGAGGAATTATTGAGTCTGTCATCTGCACCTCTATAACTGACTGGTTTGGTTCTTCAACCCAACAAGACAGACACAGACTTCGGAGAGTAATTAGGACTGCAGAAAAAACAATTACTACCAACCTGCCTTCAATCGAGGACCTGTATACTGCATGAGTCAAAAAGAGGGCTGTGAAAATATTTACAGACCCCTCACATCCTGGACATAAACTGTTTCAACTCCTTCCCTCAAAACGACGCTATAGAGGATGCACACCAGAACAACTAGACACAAGGACAGTTTTTTCTCCAATGCCATCCCTCTGCTAAACAAATAATTCCCTCAACAGTGTGCAACTATTTACTAAGTCTGCTTTACTATCACTATTAATCTTCTCATCACTCCTTATCACCCATCCCCTCCCACTTGTGACTGTATGACTGTAACTTTGTCACTTGTATCCTTACTATCTATATTGACTGTTTCCTAGTATGATTTGATTGCTTATTGTACCCTATGACTATTATTAAGTGTGGTACCTGATGATTCTTGACTCTTGATGAATGTATCTTTTCTTTTATGTACACTGAGAGCATTTGAACCAAGACAAATTCCTTTTGTGTCCAATCACACTTGGCCAATAAAGAATTCTATTCTATTCTATTCTATTCTATTCTATTCTATTCTATTCTAT